CCCGCTGGCACAGGGCCTGCCGGTGGCTTATGGCTCCGGCTGGCCGCTACGGACGGCAGCACTGGACTCGGACCCCTCGCTCAGACGCCGGGACCCAGCTTCAGGTGGGGCTGTGTTCTCACTACCAGGCGGCCGCAGCCAGCGAGCCGCACAGAGGGTCTGCTGACCCCTGCTGGCCCCTGCTGGCCTGGCCTCTGTTCCGGACAGGCCGGCGCACGCAGCAGGGCAGGCAGGCAGCATGTCCACTCCCACGAGGCCAGGCGGGAGCTGTCTATATGGAATAGAAATAGATGGTTTGTTGTGACTGCTCTTATTGGGGTGCTTGGCATTGCTCAGGTCACCTTACTGCTAAATGGGGCCTCCAGTAGTTGGGGCAGTGAGGCGGCCCCCGGGAGCGGTTTCCTCCCCTGCCACGTGGCCTCTCATGCGGTGGTGCGTTTGGTGCCTGTCCTCGGCCACGGCCTCCTCCCTGTCTGAGGCAGACCTCGAGCCCACGGCTCGCGGAAAGCGGGTGGGAGCCGGAGAAGCGGCCCTGTGCCCTGTGCTGCCCAGCGTGAACGCCGCCACGCAGAGCCCTTTCTCACCCGCCGCGTGTTCAGGAACGGAACCTTTCCTGCCTCGCCGGAGGGCAATGTCCTCCCACACAGACCCTTTTCTGAGGGGTCTCGGAAGCTACATGTTGATGGCACTTTTCCTCCAGAGAAAAGATACAGCCCCACCCACGAGCCTGGGGGCGCCTGCTGCTGGAGGGGCACCCAGGCCCCCCCCGGCAACCTCCGGTGGTGCCAGGGCCCAGAGCCTCGGCTGTGGGCGGGGTGTCCCGGTCAGGTGCACCCCCAGCCTCGGGAGGCCTTGGGGTCCTTTCCCACACCCTAGCCCAGGCCACGTGAGGTAACTGCAGCCCAGCGCACCTGTGAGCGCCCTGAAGTCTTTGAGGCCCTGTCCGGGGCTCCTGGACCAGCCTGTTCTGAAGCCCCCAACTCAGGCTTTGCCCTGTGGGCTCTCCGCCCGGCCTTCCTCGCACCGCGGCAGGCAGCAGGGACCGGGGCACGGGCCGTGCTGGCCCCTGCACCGTGGGCGCCTGTGCGGGGCTGCCGTGGGATTGGAGGACACCCCAGCACGGCAGTGGGGAGCCTGCGGCCCGCACGGCTGTGACCGCCTGGTGCCCCCCAAGGTGGGCAGTGCAGCTGTAGACCCACCCCGTGAGCTGTGTGTGTGGCGCCCAGCATCAGGGAGCACCCAAGCGTGAGTGCTGAGGCTGAGGGCCGTGCCGCCCAGGAGCAGCCCCGGGACGCGGGCACCCGGCACTGAGCACACTGGCTGGGTCTCCTCGCTCCGTCTGCTGGCCCATCTCCAGGCCCCACTCGACCAGCCGTTCAGTGTGGGCACGGCCGTGGCGTCGGGCGCAGCCTCTCGGGCACCTGCCTTGTTCCCGTGCTCAGCCAGCGAGACGGTGCCGGGACAGCTGGGCGTCAGGTTCAAGGTCACCTTAAAGGGAGGCTCACGTTGTAGATGAGAGTGAGTGCCCAAGTGAGGGCGACCCAGAAAGTCGCCAGGGCTGCCGGGAGCAGCAGCTCCTGAGCTGAGGCTGGGGGGGCCTTGGCAGAGTCGGGGTTTCCCACCGTGGCCACATGAGCTAGGCCGGACTCCCCCTGGCTGCACAGCAGTATTACAAGGGGGTGGCTCTTCGGACATTGGGTCACTGGCGGGTTGAAGGCCCAAAGTGCGGGGTGCAGCAGGGTACCCAGGCCGCAGGCAGGGGGTAGGTGTTGGGGGGCAGCGGGAGAGATGAGCGCAGTGGGCAACACGGTGGGAACCAGGCAGGTGCTGTGTTGCGGGGAGCAGAGAAGCAGCCGGTCCTGGCGGACAAGTCGCCTGGACAGTGGTGGGGCCGCCCTGTCCTGCGAGCGGCCTCGGGGAAAGCAGCCCCGTCTGGCTGGCAAGGCGGTTTTGGAAGGTGGACGTGAGGGGCCGAGGGGACAGCCTGACGGCGGGCCCACGGCCGTGGCACCTGCCATGACCTGAGCACACAGAACGTGCGCCAGAGGCCTCGAGCGGCGCCCTCCGGCCGCGGGGTGGGCTTCGCGGC